TTTATATGTAAAGAATACCGAAGATTAGTCTGACTTTTAAAAATATAAACTCTGGATGGGCTTATTTGTTTTCAAGGTTGAATAGTTGAATATTCGTGTATGGTCTGGGCTCGGCCCATTTGATATTAGTGTATCAATCTGATATAAACCTCAGTATGAACGTCGAAACTCGAAACCCTAGCTACTAGCTGCGTCAACTCTTCCTCATTTCCTTTTGCAGGGTACGTTTTTGGTTTTCTTCTTCCTAATTTAAATCTTTTGAATTAGGGTTTCAGATTACATTAGCAATCCATACGATTGTCGCTATACTATGTATGCTCATAACTTAAGATCTATACTATATCCGTTTGTTTTTCCTCGTTTCGCAATTTTACATCGTTTTGACTAACCCTGTTTTATTATTTTCAGTGGATTGCAGTAGGTTCGGCTAGCAATGTCGCCCGCTAAAGGTAACAGCCCATCGCTTCTATATGCTCTTCCTTTCTCTCGATCTATGTTTATCAATATTATCGAATATTTAAAGCTTATACATATCATAGATTAGAGCTCAATTTTCAGTTCAACCTTTTTTTTCACATCCAGCAAACAAATTTCCTGTTTTGTTAATATGAGATTGTTGAGCTGCAGGAAGCATTTGTAATTTGAAGAGAAGTTAGGTCACAAATATATACTTGTATCAATGCGTATTTGTATGAATGCTTCTGCATCTGTTAAAAACAAGGACTTCTTGCTATTATTACTCATGTTGCCCAATTTACTGTTACAGCTGATGCTACAAAGAAAGGAGATGCAAAGGCGCAGGCTCTAAAGACAGCGAAAGCTGTGAAGACAGGATCAACATTCAAAAAGAAGGCCAAGAAGATCCGTACAAAGGTGACATTTCATCGCCCAAGAACATTGAAGACTGACAGAAACCCAAAGTATCCTCGTATCAGTGCCCCACCAAGAAACAAGCTTGACCACTATCAAATCTTGAAATACCCTTTGACTACTGAATCTGCAATGAAGAAGATAGAAGACAACAACACCCTGGTTTTCATTGTTGATATCCGAGCTGACAAGAAGAAAATCAAAGCTGCAGTTAAGAAGATGTATGATATCCAGACCAAGAAAGTCAACACTTTGATCAGGTATTATTTTCAATAATTGTCAATATTAGTACACATGTTTGATAAATTTTAGACAAAATGGTGGATTTTTGAAGTTTTGTTGTTTTTTTAAAAAAATGCAGGCCTGATGGAACAAAGAAGGCTTATGTTAGGTTAACTCCAGACTATGATGCTTTGGATGTAGCAAACAAGATTGGAATAATCTAAGTGAGGTAAGGAGTTGTTTTGGTTTAAACTTTAAAGAGAAAGTGTATGCTCATTGTGGCAGTTTTGTTAGTTTTAATATCTTGAATGTTACAAGTTTAATGTGGTTATTTTTTATTTGGATTCTTCATTTGGTAATGGAAGCGTACTATAGCCTCTGCTTTAAGTTGTTTTGTTATGTTGAAGTTTTTTTTTTTTATCATGGTTTTGTGAATTGATTATTTTGCAAAACATGTATTGATGATATCAAACGCTTGTTTGTGTTGACAAATTATAACCTACCCACATTTTAATTTAGAAATAAAATTCAGTAGTAACACTGTAACAAGGTATCAGATATTGGGTTCATTTTCTAGGTTGATTGGTGTCATTTTTTACACATAATTTAAACATCGGTTATGATTAACCTACTAAAGCGAATACCTCAAATGAATGTATTTTAAGTCAAGTTAGTAGTTCAACACAAAAGTCACACTCGATTGGCTTAACTAAAGTAAAAACATTTCGACAATGATAAACCAAACTTTCTAACGTACACCAAATATTTGGACGATTGAGATTTATCAACAGCAACAGCAGACCCATATACAAACAAATATGGGCTCAAAAACCCAACTAGCTAATCTATGTCTACCTAAAAAGGTTGTATTTAATGTATGAGGGTTTTGCCTTGTGGGTCCTGTCTTTGATCTTGTTTTGTCGAAAATGATCTGACTTTCTCACCTTGTCAATAACCGACTTTCTCATCTTGTCAATAACCATCCCAGAGTCCTTGATTAGCAATGAAAGTTGTCGAAAAAGTGATTGAAAAATGATAACATGGGTTTAACCTATTTATTTAATAAAGGGTTTTTATTTTTACACTCCATACTAAGGCTCACTCCAGTCTAAATTTAGGCAGGCTATGAGAACTAAAAAACTCAAACTCCAATAAATAGTGTCAGCCATTTTACATCCGGGCCACGTCTCACCTATCATATGTGGGCCTTTTGCACCTTTATTAAAATTATTCATTTTCCCTATTTTTTTTACTTATTTTTTTTCTTCCAAAATCTTATTTGTAAAAGTTTTAAAGCAAGCCATTCATCCACCTTAGATATTGTTATATCGGTAGCTTTTTTTTTAGTATTATATAGTATTTAAACAAAATTATAAAACATATTTTGTAAAATTCTATAATTTTCATTCTTTTAATTGAAATTTATTAACTAAAGAAAAAATGAATAAATTTATGGGGGTTATGTTCACTTTATATATATTTTTTAACTCAAGCAAAAACATCTTTACCGTATATCTCAAAAAAGCAATATATATATATATATATATATATATATATATATATATATATATATATATATATATATATATATATATATATATATTAGTCACTCAGTTTTAATATAGAAGGCTATTTCTTTTTATCTTTTTTACAAAAACTTATTTGTCACCAATTAGGATAAAAGTTTTTTGGAAAAATGACTTGATAGGGTAATATATTTTTTGAAATGTACACATTTAGTCCTTATTCTTTTTTTCGTGTAAAATAAACCCTTATACTTTATTTTTTGTAACAATGCAATCCTTGTGACCGGCTATACCCGGTATACCGGTCATATATGAATTTTCTTTTAAGGAAAATGACTTGATAGGGTAAGATACTTTTTGAATTATACACATTTAGTCTTTATTCTTTTTTTTGTAAAATAAACCCTTATACTTTATTAATATGTACACATTAGGTCCTTTTCACCGGATTCTACCGTTTTTGCTGATGTGGAAGCACAAGTGGCACTAAATAACAATTAATTAGTTTAGTCACCGGAGGTGGGTGATCCTCCAACAACAAGAAAAGGGCGAGCTCTTTCTCGTCTCTCTTCCTTCCGGTCGAACAGCAACAGCCAAACACCCTTTACATGTTGTGTTTTTCCGATTTGTTTCTCTTTGCCTCCATCTTTGAGACATGTTGCCAGAAAAAGAAGAAATAATCGACGAGGGGGCTACCAGAGCAGCTCCTCGCCGCCAACTACCATCTCTACTTCCTCCTGCCTCCCCTTCGTTTTTTTCATCATTCCTCCTTGCTACCATTGATGTGTAGGAACACACAAAAGAGTCGTCGGAGATCGGGGTCTCCCTGTTTTTCATGGTGAATAAAAGTTTGAAAAATTTCGTTGTGGATATGTGGATTCCACCTGGGTAGTTCATTTCAACAAAATAAAAGAAATGGAAAATGACTTGATAGGGTAAGATACTTTTTGAAATGTACACATTTAGTCCTTATTATTTTTTTTTGTAAAATAAACCCTTTCACGTCAGCAAAACTTGTAGAATCCGGTGAAAAGGATCTAATGTGTACATATTAATAAAGTATAAGGGTTTATTTTATAAAAAAAAGGACTAATGTGTACATTTCAAAAAGTATCTTACCCTATCAAGTCATTATCCCAAGTTTTTTTTATAAAATTTACTAACAAAAAAAAGTTAAAGTTGCTCAAAAGAAAATTAATATAGAAGGCTTATATTAATTAATACTAGAATAGAAAGTAAAAGTCGCTCAAAAAAAATTTATCCTAATTTTCAACAACATATTTTTTAATTTTTTTAGTTTTAGATACATCAACTTATATAAATATATGAGAGATAAAAAAATAAAAATCGTTGATTTTTCAGTTTTATATATATGAAAGAGAAAGAGATATGTCAACCTATTTATATTTTTTTTCAGTTTTAGAATATATATATATATATATATATATATATATATATATATATATATATATATATAGAGAGAGAGAGAGAGAAAAAAAGGAAAAAGTAAAAAAAAAGAAATACTTTTTGAAATGTATGCTATTGTAAGTGTAGAATGGAGTGTCTACAACACCACCCTTTAATAAATTGGGTTGGAGAAAAAAATAAGTTAACCCAATAGCAACTCATTTATCCGGAATGTTATTATGTTGGTTTGAAATTTTAATCCATTTAATCAAATGTGTTTTGTTGGATTGAAATGTTTGACCCAATTAATAGGGTTTATTTTAAGTTGTGTTAAATGTCAAATAGAATACTTAAATGTAAGTTAAAATGTTTAAATTTGTGTCAAATGTATGATTTGGGAAACTTGAAAGAGATATTGTGCTATTTCAAAAATATGAAAAGATAAAAATAAAATAAAAAAACAAAGTGGTATAGTTGTGAAACATACCAAACAAGGAGAATACTTGCTCACTGTTTATCTTGAAATAGCAAAAAGCCTACTCTGCTAAAGAGAATAAAAATCTACTTCTTGCAGAGAAATCTCGGTTCAAAGGAGAGCAAAGGACATTTTTGCCCTTTCTTTCACCTATTTTGCTGTTTCCTTTCTTTATTTTCTCTCTGTGTTTTTGCTAGCAGCCAAGAAAATAAGCCTTTTCTTCTGCAATCTTCTCACCATGGCAAGATATCCATATCTTGTTGCAGCTTTTAATTTACATTGCATGTTTTGTGTACTGATACAAGCAACCCGATGATTGTCTTTATCCAGGATAGATTGCAACTATTATAATAAACCCATGATTCTCATCCTTTTAAATCGGACGATGATATACATTTTTGAAAAAAATTAAAAATTCAAAGTGCATAGTTTCTGCAGTTAAAAAAAATGTTTAGAAACACATTTGAGTTCTGAGGAGCATGGCTTCTAAAACTTGAAAGATGACTCACTCTGGTGATAACAAGTTTCTCCTTTTCGCAACACCACCATCCTCTCTATCCATCGGGCGAACGAACGAAGATCTGAAGTGAAGAGTCGAGGTATGGTTTCTTAATTCCTAGGGTATTCCGGATCTTCTTTCTTATTTTGTTCCAATTCCAAAAATCCTAATTAATTTGAGGGAACATAAGGAACATCGAATCCATATATATCGTGCTTTAATCTGTGTATATGTTTTATGGTGTTGTAGTTTGTTAATGATAGGAAATTGGGATCGGATCCATATCTCTATGGGATCCTACTTTTCACTACATGTAACAAGACGAGAGCTGGCTTTGTTTCTGCAAATTTGTTTTCTTTTAAGGGAGCTGGGCAAGATGGGATCCATGGAGATTTGTTATCTTGCCATGATTATTGGAATCGGTGGTCTCGGAATTATAGATATGTTTCTGTTTTGACCAAATTCACAAGGTAAAATTCCTTAGTTGCAACTGCATTATCTTCTATTGTGCAAATCTATTATCTATTACTAATTTAAATAGTTTTAGACTTCGACCTTTGATACTACTCACCTAGGATTTTCTTTTTATTCTTTTACTTAGAACTAAGTGTGAATGTATTTGGGGGGTAAAGCTTTGACCTTTGTACACCTGACAAACTGAAAACTATATAATTTGTAGGTCAAATTGGAACTAATTTTTTTTTGTTCAAATCTTTATACACACGAACATGATCATTCATCGAGGTCCATAAAAAACATCATAGGGGCAATTAGGTCTTTTCAGTTTTTTAAGGGACTAAATTCGCAACGAAAGATTTTCAAAAGGACCGTCAATCCAAAACTTTTAAGAGTTTGGATGTTTTTCCTCAAAAAAAATACATACAACAACTACCATTTTTGCATTTTTGTCACCAATTAATATATGTATTTTTCTAAAATTATGTAATTACCTATGATTGACATGCACCATAATAACATCTACTTTGTTGGATATAAAAAGAAGGATTTTAATGACACTTTATTGTAACTTATTTTTCTATTGTAAAGCAGAAGCCAACAAGAATGGGCAAACCTCGAGGATTGCATTTCCAACCTTCTCCAACGTTGATGCACTAACTCAACAAATGGCCCACCCGAGCGAACAAATGTGGCATTTAAGTGATGAATCAAGTACCAAGGCGAAATGACACAGATGTGAACTAGAATTTCTAAGATCGAGGAAAATTGGGAAGAAGACCAACTCTCCCAACTGAACCTCCACCAACGCATGGACTACTATCGCAGTCGAGTGATGCATCTAGATGTGAGGGTTACAGAAGCAGAAAGGCAGAACCAAATAGCCCTCTCAATGGCCCATAGAGTGGAAGAGAGCAACCGACTTTTGGAGGAAAGGTAGAGTAGATGTTTCAAGCTAGGAACACATCTGGGGAGTTGCAGCAAGAAAGATGATGTACTATGATGGTAGCGGAAGGGTGATGAAGCAGACAAGTGTTATGTGGTCTTGTCAATTTGAGGTAGAATTTCAAAATCGGATATGAATTATGATTATCTAGCTTTAGGTATGAATTATAGGACATTGTAAGATATATGTATGGTGTGTTTTTATTAAAAACTTCAACGGTAACAAATGATGTAACATATTTTATATGTATGAACTATAGGACATTGTAAGATATATGTATGGTGTGTTTTTATTAAAAACTTCAACGGTAACAAATGATGTAACATATTTTATGTATGAAATATGATGCAAATATTAAATTATTATGACTTGATAAAAGAGAAGTATGGCGTATTCGATTAAAAGTATTTTATAGAGTTATTAACCAAAATTCTTTTGCTTGTTGTTTTTGTCAAAGCAGTTGTTTAAATAATATAGTATTACAAATGACTAACACCACGACATAAACTTACCGTCTTCTACTAACCTAATAGGAATCAGAATTTGTCGCCAAAGAAGAGACCCAGGTTGAATCCTAAGGGGACCAAAAATCCTAAGCCAAAAACTACCGGTTAATCCAATAAAACACGTCTAATGGAAATTCCAGTGATTGAAACCTCCAAAACAGAGGAACCAAATCACTCTCACCTAAGGAGAAGCTACATAAAAGCTCGGCAGAATTAGAGCAATTGGTTGCAGAACGCGTTAGGATGGCATTATTAAATGCAAAAACTACACAAAAAGAAACCAGGAAGAAGGGTAACAGTGGATCCGAAATTGGTCGGAGTGGCGGTTCCAATCCAAACTCCGAAGGACCCCGGAAACCTTGCACCTACAAAGAATTCATGAGCCGCAAGCCAATAAATCTATATGGAAACGAAGGGATTATGGGTCTAACCCGGTGGATTGAGAAGGTCGAAGTCGTGTTTGAAATTTGTTATTGCAATGAAAATAGCAAAGTACGATTCACAACATGTACCTTTATGGATGGGGCTTTAACATGGTGGAACGATCACATTAAAACCTTGGGTCTATCGGTTGCAAACTCAATACCGTGGGAAGATATGAAAGCACTGCTAATAGAAGAACATTTTCCAACGGACGAAGTGCAAATTTTAGAAAATGAGTTGTGAAATCTAAAAATGAAAGGTTCAGATATCAAATCACACCACTAAGTTCAATGATCTTGCGCTTCTTTGTCCAACCATGATGATCCCAGAGAGCAAGAAGGTAGAACGCTACCTTTGGGGTTTGGCACCTTAGATAAAAGGAATGGTCCTCTCATCAAGACGTACTACTTACCAGTTACCACAGTGCGAAACACATCACGCTTCAACTAACAAAGAACAAAGTGGAACAGGGAAAAATGGTAGCCAAGGTGGAAATCCCGAAGGTCAATAATCATAACAAGAAGCACAAGTTTAATAATGGGAACCAACGACAGTAACAACAAACAAAAAAGGTGTATGGAATAACCCCAGCTCCCATCATGGCCCAACAAAAGGTGTATTCTAGAAACAAACCAATGTGTAACACATGCAATCGACATCAATTTGGGGAATGTTTTCATTGTTCAAAATGCAACAAGAAAGGCCACACCGCAGGTTATTGCAAAAACCCATCAATGGTAAACACAATTCAAAACAAGAATACTAGAACAAGCTCAGGAGGAGGAAGGGCATGTTACGAATGTGGAGAAACGGGGCACTACATGAAAAATTGTCCAAAATTTTAGAAGAAATATGGTAATGCTCACGGGAGAGCTTTTGTGATCAGGAATAAGGATGTAATTCAAGATCTTTCAGTTGTTACCGGTATGTTCCTCATCAATAACTTATATGCTACAATACTCTTTGACTCTGGTGCGGATAGAAGTTTTATAACTCCATCTTTTAAACGACTATTAAATCACAAGTCTAGTAAGTTAGATGTAGCTTATGAAGTAGAAGTAGCGAACAGCCAGATAGAAAGCACCACTGAAATATTAAAGAATTGTCGTATAACTCTGAACGATAGATCATTCCCAATAGATCTCATGCCAATTCTAATTGGAAGTTTTGATATAATTATAGGTATGGATTGGTTGTCGCCTCATCATGGTGAGATATTATATTATGAGAAAGCAGTAAGACTGAACCTACCCAACAAGGAGACCATGATTAAAATTTATGGTGATAAGTCAGGGAAAAATCTGAAGCTTATTTCTTGTACTAAAGCCGAGAAGTACTTATACAAGAAGTGTTATGCTTTCTTAGCACACATTGTGAATAAGAATAAAGAAACAACGAAGATCAAGACATACCTTATGTATCTAATTATTCTGATGTATTTCCCAAAGATCTACCAGGATTACCACCAACTCGTCAAGTCGAATTTCGAATTGATCTAATTCCAGGAGCATCACCAATAGCTAAATCCCCCTACAGATTGACACCCTCTGAAATGCAAGAGCTTTCAAGTCAACTACAGAAACTTCTTGATAAAGGCTCCATTAGACCAAGCTTCTCACCATGGGGAGCATCAATCTTATTTGTCAAAAAGAAGGATCGATCTTTCAGATTATGTATCGACTAACGGGAGCTGAACAAATTAACAATCAAGAATCGTTATCCACTCCCAAGAATCGATGATATGCTTGATCAAATCCAGCGACCCATCTACTACTCAAAAATAGATTAATGACCGGGGTATCACCAACTCAAATTACTACTCAAAGTACTAGAGGAAGATATTCCAAAGACTGCATTTAGGACTAGGTACGGTCATTACGAATTCCTAGTTATGCCCTTTGGGTTTGTTGGATAAGGTGTCTAAGTCCGTAACTATATTTGGTATGAACTTGACCCGACCCGACATGGTCCATTTGGGTTGCACTTCACCTAATAATTTGTATGGATATACCTTCGAGAATAAGATGTTTATGATCTATTAATATATTATAAGTTATAATATATTAGTATTAAATCATATTATTTAATTAGTGTTGATTAAGAATTGATTTTGGAATTAATTTATTGATCAAAATAGGCTAATTAAATATGGACTCTTACATATATATGGATTGGGCTAAGATTTATTTAGGATGGGCTAAGAGTATATGGAAGTCCATGGAGCTTTTAACCCATGGATCCTAGGTAAATGAAGAGTCATGGGTATTAGGGTTTAACCCTAATCCTACATACTATATAAAGAGGTCCTTGGTTCTAGAATTGGCACTAGTGTGTGTGAGAAACAAGAGTGGGCCGATTTTAGTGAGCATCATATTCTCTCAAGTATTTCCAAATTGTTTTGGGTGATTTGTGACACCACTTGAGGCATCCACACTATTGGTGCTAGGCTCTAAAACTCCAAGCAATCAACTACAAAAGAAAGGTATGTTATTCTACTTAAAGTTTTGTATTACAAGTACCCCATAACATGCTAGCTAGGTTGTAAACCTTGGAAAACAAATTTGCATGTATTTTAGAGAAAACATAGATCCAAGGTTTCTAGTGTTGCATGTACACCATATGAGTGTTAGAATGCTTAAAACCCAACAGTGGTATCAAAGCCTAGGCTTGTTTTCTTGATACTTGATGCAAATAGTTGAAAAAACTCATGTTTTATGCATTCTGCTGAGTGGACTCGCCGATTCTATGGGGGGACTCGACGAGTCCATGCCTATCTTCAACCAACTTGCCGAGTCAGTTCATGCACTCGACGAGTTGGCTTGTCAGAGTGCAGTTTTTTGAGTTTTGCTGCTGGAAATGGACTAGAAACATTACCCTAAACTGTTTTGGTGTTTTAAAACTTATTTTAGATGAGGTAATGGTTATGCTAACCCATTTACAAGGGCTAATATCAAAATTCCATGTTTTATATGTGATAATATGATCCTTGAAATTTTGATATGAGTGTTCATGTTCTTATGAGTTATTGTTAGATCATAAGAATTATTTGTTGAATTGTTTAATGATTAATTCTTGATCAATTATGTGTTTTAATGGAATCCATAATTTATCCTCAAGTTATGGATTACCAAAAGTCACTCTTTTAAAGTCCATTTAAAAACAAATAGGTTACATAAAATGAAAAGTCTATCATTTTAATAAATCATTAACTCATAAGTTATGAAGTTGAAAAGTCTTGAATAGTTTCAAAACTTGCCCTCAAGTTTGGAATTTGTAAAGTCTCACACATTAATACTTTAATTCCAAATTGAACCTTAGAATTTTAAAAGTTTAAAATTCAACCTTTATACTTCTATAATATTAAAAGTTTAATTATTATATATATGTATAAGAATAAGTCAGTCTTATCGTTAGTAGGCCTCATTCACGAAGCCGGTCTATAAGGGGGTATAAGGTTACTGCCTATAAAATGGCGGTTTAATGGGTGTCCACTCTCACCCCACCGCTTCCTTGACTGGTGGAGGGTCGTTAGCCGAACGGGTAGGATGGGACCTTAATCCTCATTAAAAGTATAATGAAATCATAAAGTAACTAAACATTTATTAATTCCCAATCTTAGTTACTTTAGGAAAACATGAAATAGGTGCTAACCCATGAAATTACACTTTGTACCTTACCAAGTCATTAGTGGAGCGTGTGTGGTTAATCAACACACTAACAAGGACTAGTAAGAGTGGCAAAGGGTGACTTAAGTTTTATCATAGATCAGTGGAGCGTGTGTGGTTAACCGACACATCGATTGGGTGATAAAATTAAGGGTACCAAGTCAATTTGCATGGTTATTCACACCTTATTTGTGATCCTCGGCATCCCAGTCACAAACTTGAGAGGGCACAATCGAGATTTAAACATGCCATTGAAAGTTCAATGAATCTCAAAACATCTAGGAGTTTCAAATCCAATTAAAACTTAATAATATATTTTGTTTATAATGGTGGAAATTGGTAAATCGTCATTTAACTACCTTCAAATATTTTATAGCTTGGATTACGGCATCCCTCTTCCAAGTTATGAAACAGTTTGTAGGGTCCTAGCCTTAATATTTCATTTGGATGACTTATTAAGGACTCTTTATCTAATTAAAACTTCTCTTTCTTTTCTTTCAAATGTCTTCCAACACTACTGTTGGCTCAAACCCTGCAGGCTCCTTTTCCCTCATGAACTTGTGTGGGAAAGTCACTTTTGATGGTTCTAATTTCAATGAATGGATTAGGAACATCATAATGATTACCCGCTATGAGGACAAGGAATATGTCCTTGACAAGGAACTTAAGGTTATCAATGAGACCACTGCTACTCCTGAGGAGATTGCGGAGTTT